AATTTTGTAAGTAGGGTGATTTTTATCATTTTAATTAGATTATAATATTATTAATAAATTAAAAAATTTACGATAATCAAATTAGATTAAATCTTAACGAATTTATTATATTTTTAAATTAAAAAAAATATTTCACAGCCATTATGTTTTCATAGTTGAAGTACTCACGATGAGTTAAAAATTTTTATTTATTTATTTAATTTTCTTCCGTTCTTTCTAAGGATTCGGGGAAATGACACTGACTTTTTCTCCCGGGGCCGTCCAAGAATAAACAAAACACCCACTCCCCCAAAAGCAACAGATTTTGATTCCGCACAGATCACTCATTTTCATGATTCCTTTTTTTCTTTCCCTTGTAAATTTAATGTTGAGATCAGGAGACAGTGCGCTCTCTTTTTACCATTTTAAATCTTTCATCCCTCTTGTTATTGGCCAACTTGTGCCTACTTTTATTGCCTAATTTCTTCAACCCTCTATCCATCAATAGGAGATGTAATCCTGCCGCTATATTACCGTGAGTTTATAAATCTACGTTTTATTTTTAACTAAAGTTTTATAGAGCTTCTTTCTTAAACATTGAAAGCAAACATCAGAAGACTCAATTTTATAATGTTTTATTGTAAAAGTATGAGTCAAAGTTGGAATGATATGTAATTTTCGCAATTGATTGAACCCACAAACTTTAATTTGTGATATACAGACATAAGAATAATATAACTTCTAACCTCAAATACACAAAAAAAAAAAAAATGTACAATTTGATTTCAATCTATAATTCGTTGTAAAAAGATACGTGCGGACAAAAATTTGTAAATAGATGATAATTTATAATTAAATGAAAATAATAATAGCCATCGTATAATTACTAATTAATAGAGTATTCTGATCGTTAAGATAATAAAATTAAAAAAATACAATCAAAACTTTAAGTTACTTTACAAGAAAATTAAAGTATATGATAAAGTTTTCACAATAACAAAACATTACGCTTATAATAGACTAAAGAAATGTTATCAGCGACATTAATTGATCAGTAGTATAACGTAAGATCAATACCTGCTTATAGTGAAATTATGATATATCAATTTTAAATTTAATATTATTGATGTGACTTAAATTCTGATGATTTTAATCATAAAGTTATTTTGTAATTATCCTAATGATTAATTTTATATATTTTTTGAAAACTTAAAAAAACTCTAGTACCCTTTCTATGCATATGTTTGCTAATTTACGGATGATATACTGTTTTTATTTATTTATTTATCATAATAGAATATTTTTTTACTGGTCTTGTTCGTGAATATAAGTACATTATCGAATCACGTTAAAATTTTATATTTTTTTTATTTTTACTTTTATTTTAATGTGATTGTACGTGATTTAGAAATTAATTTATCTAACAAGTACAAATTAAATTATACGACAAGGCATACTTAAAATCTACTACTAACGAGAATAATCTCTCCGCATCTCACTTAATTTCTTGGACTCCATCCAATTTTTAATACAAAAATTAAACACAAAACCAACCCGGCACCATTCTTTTTTCTTTTTGGTGAGAAAACCTTATGCTGTTTCCCAAGTGCATGAGAGTATAAATAAAAAAATATCATGTAGTGGTCCTTGACCATACATTTACAGGAATCTTTGAACTTTGCAGCATAAAAGATTCAACTCCAACTTTCATTTCGATTATATACGTGAGTATGTGTATATATATATATATATGTATAGATTTTTTCAACTTTTTTCCTTTTATAGGCAATTAATTGTCTGTGAATAATCAATGTCTATCTCCCATTTGGCAACTAGATAGCTCTAATGTTTTTATTGAATGGTACTAATTTGCAGCATAATTGTTGAAACCAGATTAGTTACTGAACCAGTTAATTACTAGTTGATTAGTCTGATTAATTTTAATGCTGATCTAATAAAAATTATTTACCAAAGAACAAGAATCGGTTTACCTAAAAAGATCTCCTGCTTTCCTTTAGTTACGCCCACATGGGGATCTGCTCCATTCTTCAACACTAAGTGTATCGTGACTTGTAAAATCTTTAAAGTTAATCAAATATATATATATATATATATATATATATATATTGCAGGGTGAAGGTAGATACTGAGAAATTGAAAACTAGAAAGCTTGCAAATCCAGCAGAGTTGGAGTTGCATGCTTTACCAAATCACCAAACAGATTGCTTAGATTCACAGTAAAGTAATCGCAATAGTTATTAATTCCCTTGTTGCTTTTACACTACAATATTAATCCATCATAACTAAATTACAAAACCTTTAAAAAGTAAATAATCTATATATATATATATATATATATATATATAGTTGCTATTGTTATGGTCTAAAATAATCTGTACACATGTTGGCTACTACAAGTCTCCTCATTTGCTTATAGCGAATTAAGCAAGAGAAATATGACCGTCATTAGGAGTACTGCGTGTCTCAGAGCAGAAGAAGATGAAGAAGAAGATGAAGATGAAGATGATGAAGAAGAAGAAGAAGAAGAAAGAGTTGTTGACGATGAATCTCCAGTTACAAAATTTGGTAGCCATGAATTACCACCCACATCTCCTGCTCCATTGTTTGATCCGCTTGTACTTGGAGTCGTATTACTGGCCGATTTTTGGCTGTTCACAAATAAATAAATTAATCACCATCAATTATATAGTTAGATTAAACAAATTAAAAATCAGCTACCAGCTTATTCCATTGCCTATATTTATCAAACTTGTTGCATACAAAAGTTGAAAAGTTACATGAAAAGAAAATGGAATACTTATAAAGAACACCCCATTTTCATATTGAACTTTCAATCCCATTCAATCGAATTCTAAGTGTAATAATATACATATATATATATATACACACACACACACACATATATGCTTACCTGGTTAATGAAGGGCAGAATGTAATGGTATAATCTGCAGCTGTACACGTAAACGTGCTCGTTGCATCATCATACGCGTAGCTATACGATCTGGGACACGCTGATTTAAAAATCTCCGAGTAAATCGACGGCTTACACGTGTCGGGTGAACCATACGCGCCACTACAACAATATTCCGGCTTCCCAAATGCCTCGCACGCACTCCTGCATGCCTCGCCCGACCCGAACCGTAATTCACTCGGGCAACGCTGATTCAAGTCCGTAACACAACCCGTTGACAGGCACGTGCCCGACCCGCCAATTGCTTCCACCGTCATCGGCAGATTGTACCCGTCAACTAAACTCACATCGTAAAAATCCTGAGTCGTACCTGACCCGATAGTGAACTCGGCTAGGGTGGCCGGAGGTTTGGCGGTGGCACCATTGCATTGGATTTGGTTTGACCCACAGTCACCGGTTTGACAGGTTCCCTGACCCGTAGTTGGATCAAATGCGCAGCCAGTTCGACCCCAAAACCTGCCGGACCAGCCAGGAGGCGCTTGAAAGGAACGAGACCCACCGGGTGGAAGTTCGAAGCCGGTGGCATCCAGTCCATTGCTGCCGGCATTGGAAAGGATACCTGGCCATACTATGTATTGACACCTGTTTACGAGAGTAAATGTTGCTCCACTTATGCCTGCAAAAGTTGACAATCATAATTATAAAAATGTCAGATTAGAATCTAAAGATTTGAGAGTTCAAAGATATGAAGTTACCTTTGCAGAACACCAGTAAAAGGAGGCTGATAACAAATGGAGAAAAAGAGGAGAAAAAATTCAGATCCATAAAGGGATATACTGTTGAATACTTTGTAGGTGGTATATGGTTTTGATCTTCTTACTCGGTCTTCCTCTTAATGAACGAAAGACTGCATTTTCTGTCGATGAGAAGATGGAGAAGAAGAAAAAGAAGACATGAAAATGGAGGTTGGCTATTATATTCTTGAAGAAGAAAATGATGGAGATTGGAGGGAGAAGGTAGCAGAGGTCTGAAATCTATTTGATCACAGAAAAGAAATATGGGTAAGCTGGTGTTCTCTTCTCTCTCTTTCTCTCCATATATATATATATATATATATATATATAAACATGAATGTGGGGTTGAACGAAAAAGAATTTCAAGAAATATAAAGGTGTTGTAAATTAGAAAAAGAAATTAATTAATTAATTAACATGGCCACGTTCTTTAAGAGTCGTGGTCAAAGTCGGTGCTGATCACACAGATTTCCAGTAATCCTCTTTCCTGTTTCGAATTTTATTAAACATTTGCCTACACACATATATATATATATATATATATATATGTGTATATAATTTTTATATGTTGAAATTTATAAATTTTATGTGGTAAATGGATTTAATTTTAATTTCATAGATGAAAAATAAATAAATAAATATAAATTTGGAGGAAATTGCATGTGGGTTGATATAAAATGGGGTTGCTTTGCTACGTTAAAGTAGAGTAATACCACATGTTCTTCTGTTGTAACGTCATCTTTATTTATTTATTTATTTTTTTCTAAAAAAAGAAAAGATGAAAAACACACTTGACCTTCTTCATACATGAATCTTTTGTTTTCTTTTAAAGAAAATTTATTGTGAATAACATTTTCAAGTTTTATCAACAAATAATTATAATCCAGTCTAATTATATATATATATATATATATATACACATATGAAACTATATATGAAATTAAAAATAATCCTCTTTACATTTGATGGAAATTGTTTAAATCTTACAAAATTTTATATATTTTTCATTTTAAAAAAAATTAAACAAAATTGTTTTAAAAAATGAATCAATAAACCATACACAATTACAACAAAGTATAACAAATAAATAAAAAAAATACAAAATATACACGAATAAGATCGACAAAAAATATTTCAAATATGATAATCTGATAGTATATCGCTAATAAATTAGTAAACTTATATACGGAGAGAGATTAATAGAATTTTTCTCAAATAAAAAATTTCTATGATGTATGTCAAATCTTCTTTAAAAAATTATACGAAATAATTTTATTAAGTAATAACTGAAAATAGAATAATTATCACTTTCTCACAGAACCATCGTAATTATACACGAATCCAAAAGACAGAAGAAGTTAATTGTATTCGAGATGTTGGAAACCGTCTAATTAAACTTGATTACATATAAGATTAAATTAAGATTGTAATACTAATGTTACGTATAATATATTCCAACCAAGCTTTATATCTTTTATCGTAATAAAGTTGTAGTAGCGAGGGAAATTGAATGCATACGAGGGCACGTTAAAAAGTCAAACTTTTTTCTTGGGCTCCCTTCTTATCATCTTCTCCTTTTAAGATAAATTTGGATTCTCGCCTTCCCATCAATCTCCATTAACATGTCGAACTATGAAGTTATATAACATCACAGTGGCTGCAACCCAAATCCCTAATTAAGTCGGCGGTTCATAGAATTATACTTACACCCATTCTTAAATAATTATTAATTTGTTGGACAATTAAATTGAAAAACTTATTTTTTTTTTGGCACCTTCCCAATGGTGTAAATTCCTATATATAATTATAGTTTAATTAGTATAACAGCCTTGGTGTTTATAGAGTTGTTATAATTATCTGAATATTCAAGTACCCTTTTGAAAAGAGAACATCATAATTTGGTAGATGAAAACTATATGTATACATATGCTGTATTTGGAGATGTGTTATTTGAAATAAAATGACCATGTATATACAATCATAATGTTTATCTTAAGACAAAGACAGGAATAGAGGGGGGGATAAAGATAAAGAATATGATATATGTATATATATATATATATATATATATCATTGGGGTATTTCACTTTTTAGGTGTTTGTGTACTAATTTCTTTTATTCACATGCATGCACGCTTAATCTTCATGAAAGAAGAAAAAGAAAAACATCACATAAAACAGCTAGCATTCATAATCCACCAAAATATTCAGATATGTACAGTCTTTAAAGACTTTGGTATACTTAAAAAGGGTAATATGAAATCGAGAAAAATAATAATTTCATAATTTTTTTAAAAAATATCAAATAATTTTCTACGATAATTGAATTATCGAAAGACAACGTCGAAAGAATTTCAAAGAAATTTTCAGATAACAAAATATTTCAAAATAATTTTCACGATCGATGTTTATCAGGGTTTAGAAGAACTGAAATCATTTTTGGTTGATGCCGAGACAACTAAGTGTCGTCTAATTCTTCGTTTTAATTTCATCATATTTGAAATGATTTATCTCATAAAATTTAAAATCAAACTCGTAGGATACGTTAAATTTATTTACTCTATAGTTTTAATAATTTTTATAATTTTTTTTTAACAAAAGAAAATACATATCATAATCAAGGATTAATGCCAAAGGCATCTTAATTAATTACTTAAAATCCTGGAAAGAAGATTAAAGGCCATTAATTAAGAAAATTTACCCCTACTTTTCAAAGCATCTTGAAAAAGTTGTAAAAAGAGATTTAATTTTTTCCAATATTGAAACAAGTTTTAATATTCTACAAAGACGAAGAAACTGGTCTTGATAAAACTTCATCTCCCCCAAAGGGTATCTGAAGTAATTGACTAATCTAAATTTTTTGTACATAGTTTTCGACCTAATAATCGTGTTTGAAGATATATGTTTAAGAATCTAATCAGCTACCGGCATATATATTAGTTTTACTTTAGATAAAAATTAAAACTCTAATCTTCAACTTCTGAAAGTAAAGAAATACAATCGAACTCAAAAATATAATCGAGTTTACTAAATTAGCTGATTGCAATTTAATTTTTCTTTCACAAATAATTTTGAATATAAATATCAAAATAAATAAAAAATTTATGACTTTACTTTATCTTATTTTGTATTATATTATTTGTACAGTTACATATGATAAAAATATATAAATTTACTTAATTTGATCTATTTATAATCGATCTGTTATGCTTTTTTTTTGTTAAAATACATATACGAATCGGGTTAAATTCATATTGATGGAAAAAAATAAAAGTAAGTCAAAACAAAATTTATTTTAAATTTAATTTTTTAGTAAAATATATAATTTTTTTTATTATAAATATATTTAAGTTTATATTAATAAATATAATTAAATTTATATTAATATAATAAAATGACTACGTTGAGTTGAGTTCGAATTTGTTCTTTGTAAGGACATGTCAAGTTTGGATTTGGTAGAACTCTCTTTGAATCCATCTTTTTGTCATTTCCATGTGCAAATGGGTATGTTTAAATTGTTTGCATGAAATTGCAAGTTTAGATACACATATATATATACATGTATGTATGTATGTATGTATGTATAGTCAAGTCTTTCAAAATAGTCAACAATTGGGTTTGGTTTGTATAAAATATATAATTATTTATTTAAGATTAATTGTATCTTAAAAAAAAAATTAGGCATCAAAATTTAAGCGTGAATCAAGAGGGGTGCTCGTGGGGCGGTGGACACGTGTCCTATGAATGTAAACAACGGACACGTGTCCTTCTCAAATCTCAATGCCTCCTCTTCCCCCACTCCCAAGATTTCTATTTTATATTTTCTCCATTGAATTTTCAAGGACTCAAGTCAAATTGATTTTTTGAAAAATAATTTTACTCTTTTTATTTTTATTTTTATATGGGTTTATGGATACTTTTATTTTATTTTATTTTATTTAATAAAAAAAACTTTATTAAACTCGTAAAAATTTACAAATAAAATTCGTAAATTATAAAATATAGAAATTTATTTTTGGGATGAGGAAGGTGGTTGGGGGGGCTTTAAAAAGTAGAAACCGACTTGGGCTTTTTTTTTAGGTAACCAAAAAGAGATGCTCATCCACCTCACTCTGTACTCCATGCGTGGATTCCACCTCACTCTTGGGCCCCACATTTCAACTAACAAAAAATTAGTCAAGTTTTTTTATATTATCTCTCTGGGAAGCCAAGAGAACACCAGCGTCAGGATGGCCGAGTGGTCTAAGGCGCCAGACTCAAGTTCTGGTTCTCGTTAGAGAGCGTGGGTTCAAATCCCACTTCTGACATTTTCATTTTCTTAAAATGAATTTTTCTTTTTTTTTTCCTCCCCCCCTTAATGAAAGTAATCTTGCATGAAACTTGACGTGGGTTGGCAGGCCGTCCACATATATACATATAATATATATACACACACACACGCGCGAACGAAATATATATATTCATCAGTTCTGAATATCCTAATTTTCAGAACGTTAAAATATAAAAAAAGTTTAAAAAATATATGAATTTACAAACTGACTAGCCGTAGCTTTCTTTTCTTTTCTTTTCTTTTTACAAGCTCAAAAAAAGTAGCTTAATTAATATGGAAATTTAAAATAATAATAATAATAATAATTATTATTATATACAAGTGGAGGAGCAAGCTTTAATATATATATATAATAAGTATAGCTGAATTAAGTCGACCTGCATGTGCAGTGTTGTGTAAAAGGGGAACTCCCACTTCTTTTTCATCTAAAATATTCAACCAAAAGTTCCCATTCACACACATGTATAAATACATACATATATATATATACGCTACCAAAGTATATGTATGTGTGTGTGTGTGTGTATAGGTTAGATACTTCTTTTGTACTAATAGTCATTTGAATTATCACCAATGTTTTTTTTTACCTATTCATTAATAACAATCTTGAGTTTTACACTTTTGTAAATAATTGCCTAATTAACCACATACATAAATACATATATATATATATATATGTATATAGGTATAAACAAAACACTTTTGACTATTAAGGGACAAATGGTTTCAATCAGGTAGGTACTAAAACAAGATATATATAGGTAAGCAAGCAACAACACGATCTCATCATAGTACATAATATAATATTTGGACAACATACAATCAAAAAACCAGCTCTGTATAAACTCTCATAAAGCTATAAAGTTGCTTGGACTGGAGCTGTTTTAGGACCAAGATTCTCAGACAAGATTACGGTAGTTTAACTAGTTTATATTTGAACTTTAATAAATAAAAATAAAGTATTCTATATCTAAGGTTTGTTGACATATGTACATATATATATATTAATCAAAAAATAAAATTAAAACGATCCCTGAACTTGAGATAAAATAAATTATGAATTGAATGAGAAAGTAAAACAATAAATTAGAGTTTACATTCTTCACACAATAATTTGAAATACTCAATAGTGTTACGAGAATGACAATTTTAAAAAAACAACTAATAATAAAACAATAAATAAAAATTCAACTAACGGGTCGTCTCCATACCCTGTCCAGTATAAACGCCAAGAAATATCATTCTTCAATACTCCGTTCAGTACGAGGGTAAAACGGGTTGTCCCCATACTCTGACCGATATGAGCGTCAAATTACCAATCCTCGAGACCCCATTCGATATGAGACAACGTTTACGATAACATTCCCTATGTACCCGCTCCGTTCACCATCTTTCAAGATATCCAGTAAAACTACTATTCATCCATTTACTTAATCAAATAATTTCCTGTTTATCTTTAATTTTCAGTTTCTCAATTTAACTGTGAACCATGCAAAACAAGCAATACATGCGTCAAGAAACATAAACGAATCATTATACCAATTCGAGCATATTATCATATATTCAAAAACTGTAAAATCAATCAATCAGTTAAACATGCTAAACAGAAATAGATAACCAGTTCTGACTTCATTAGTAACCTTTAATTATCGATATTTTCTAAATTGTACAAAATACCACATTGTTTATAATTAAACTTCAATTCCATAACAAGGAATAGGGTAATGGATTCTTACTCGAATTGGTGTCCGAACGCTAAACTTTTGGGTGTACCTATTGACGGTATTTGTGTTTCCTAAATTTTTCTTCGTAGATTAAAACACACTCTAAATACCTAAAAATACATCCTAAAATCCAAAATCAGTATTAGAAACCCCTTTTGGCCAATTTCAGAATTCCAGCACGGCAGAGCGGCAACGGCACCGTCGCCGCAGGCTGTGGTCTGCCTCGGGTTGGCCGTTTTTGGCAAATTTTGGCTGACTTCGGCAGATTTTGTACCCATCCCTGCGAGAAAACACGTTAGGAGGCATCAATTGGCCGAAAAAAGTTGAAAAACTGAAGTTTATCAGCGGCGAAGTTTTCGTTTGCAGCGACCCTGCCTGCTCACTTTTGCAGTTAGATATTTTGCTTCAGTCTACCTGTAGAAAAAAAAAATGATGATTATAATAATGAAAAAATTACACGAAATAGAAATCGGAAAGGGTCTCATTAGATGCAATTTTTATTTTTTTCCGCGGCGGCCCCGCCGGGCTCTACTCGCGATTTTCGACTCATCCGCATGTTCTTTTGTTCCAATTTGGCTATAGGAGTGCTCAAAATGGAATTTCGAGGGAATTGAATTTTTTTTAACTCTTTTGGCAGTCGAAAGTAGCTCCAATGTGACAACGGGTGACAGTCGGCTCATTTTTCGGTGACTTGCTCTTCTTCTCTGACGGGGTAGTCTGGCGGCTAGGGTTAGGGTTTGGTGTGAAGATGAGTATTTATATCCGTCTCCTTTTAATCTGGATTGTCCATCACGTTTTATCTTAACCGTATGATCGCGTTTAAATAATAAGTGAGTTTAAACTATTTATTGTGATTTGATCTAGACCGTACGATCGCGTTTAATAGGAGGTGAATCTGGGCCGTTCCTACCGTTTAATCGCGACCGTCCGATCGTATTTGAGGAGGGAACGGATCAGGAACATCATCGTGCGGTGGAACAAATCTGGACCGTCCGATTGCAGGCACGCGTATCGTCAGCATGACCTCCCGCGTGACACCGTGTCAACGTGTCTTACCACACGACGCACTCCGATTCGTCGAGACTGCTAACTAAACGTCCTATGTGGCATATTACTTAAATTATATTTTGATCCCAGTTTTCGATTTTTCTATCAAAAACATCCACATAACCCAAAATTTCACCATTTTTTCTTTAAATTATTTTCAATTTCATTATTCACCTATTTTTTTTTCTAATTTTATATTAAATAATAATTTATAAAATTAAAAATTAAATTTTATATATAAATTTTGAATTTTACAAATTAATTTAAAATATTACAAAAAATTAGAGTATGGCATAGCAACTAAAATATGTGGTTGACCATGCACTTAACCTGATCAGTATTCATTACTATCTTCAAAGTAACCTGAATAAAACGACGTGGTGATGACATGCAAAAGTGAAATGTCTACGTACGCTATAAATTAAGCTGTACAAAATTAAAGTCTCCATGTCGCTAGCTGCCAATCGTGAATCTCTAATTATTGACACAACAAACTGACTCATAGTTCATCGCATCAGGATTCAAACTGGGCACGAGTACATATATATATATATATGTATACATATGTATTCTTGACTTGGTATAATTAATAAACTAATTGTTTCTTTACAATTACAAGTTAAAGCTTGAAAGAAACTGGACACGAGTTTCTCATGGCTCTTAAAGATTATCTACTTGACCACCATCATCATTGTTTATATCTTTTATATATAATTACATAAGTTGCGCTTATATTAATTGTTGAAGACAAAAATGTTTTACTTTAATGTAAATACATGACTAGTTGATATTTTCCTTTTTCGCATTTCTTTTTTTCCAATCCAAGAGAAAAGAAAATGAGAAAAGAAAAGAAAACAGCAGCTATACTGTTACAAAAGGAGAATCACGTAGGTATATATTTAGAGATATATATGTACACATACACTTACACACACACACACACACTGCAGAGACACTAGTATTTTATATGCAGAAGAGATTATCACAGAGAGGAGGTGGCTCATAGAATTGTAACAGTATATACGAAGTGTTTATAAGTAATTAGTTGGTGTGGTACTGGTCAAGATAACGTTGCGGATCAAAGTGGCATACAAATATAGAAAAGTAGAACGATGATGGGGTCAACTTATCTAAATCAAATTGACATGTCTGGTGGTGATAGTTTCTTTTTTATCTTAGGATGTCCTTTGTCATGCTTTCTGTCGTGTAAAGTTCCCAAATTGGATAATTCACATATCAAATTTTTGGCAGAATAGTAATATGAAAATCTATAGCTACATACCTTCAAGTTGAATATATTGCCCTAAAGGAGTTATATCTTTTTCCTCTTTCTATCTCCCTCCACTTTACTTTTATAATTATTTATAGCTTACCCAGTTGTTTATCTCTTTCTTCTTTCAAAAAAAAAAAAAAAAAATTCTTGTGTTAAACCTTGATAAGTTCTTAATAATATATATATATATATATGGGTTTTAGAAGGTATCATAATAATGGCAAGCAAATAAGTAAAGTGAAAGGGGGCCATACTATATACATACATATATATAGACATATAATTAGATGTCATGCTTGGCGTAATTAATTTTAAATCTTTTTGGGGGGACAAATTGATTATAGAGGATTTAATGGAATATGCGACTTCAGTAGATATACGTATATAAACATTTCATGACTTGACAATATATATATATATATTATATGGAGACAGATGATAATTAAAAATAAAAAGCTGAGCGATTTGATATGTGACAGCATGACAACATGGGAACGGTTTGTAAAGGAAATGGGTTATAAATATGGATTACATATGTATATATATATATATATATGTTTGTAGGTGTATAGCTAGAAACATGCACGAGCTTAATATAGCGAAAGAATTCAAAAAGGGGATGAATATGACTCGGATTTGCGATCAGTGGGAGCAGCAGAAGTAAAGCTGTTTGACGTTTAAGATTACTGTCAATATATACAGTATTATTGTAACCTGTATATGTATAATCAATCATATTATTTTTGCAGAATCCTCTGAAAATTTAAGTATCATTTTGTAAAAGCAAAAATGGGCAGCAGCAGGAGAAGATTTATAGGGGGCCCAAGGAAGATACGAAAGGACGTGAAAGTTTAAAAAGAGATTCATGCAGGATTGCTTTGACCTGGAATTTCGAATCTTCTTGCACTTTTCCAAAATTTCCTCCTTCTTCTTCTTTTTTTATTTTGCACGAAAGCGAGAAATGTCTGAGGCCCAACCTTAAACATGAATCGCAGAGCAAACATGGTATTGGGCTCTCCAAATAGTTTAGTCTAATTATATGTAAATTCTAAGTAAAGTTTACCAACATAACTTTCTTAACTAGCATTTGGAATTTGGAGAATCAAAATTTTCCAGCAGAGTGTGTATAATTTCATCTCCCATCATGCACTGGTGTTAGCTGGACATGTTTCTTGATGCTATCATACCCATTTGTGCTACACTCACCAAATTGAGTAGAATCTATAATTGACTCTCCGAGCAAGTACTGAGTCTCTTCACTGTATGACTCCTCATTATTAACCCATGGGTGCTGTACTGTCATTCTTATTCCTTCTAGTTCCATGGCAACTTCCTTCATGGTTGGCCTTTCTTCTCCTCTCACTCTCAAACATCTTTTTGCCAGATTAGCAACTGTTTCAAGTTGCTCAACCTTATACTCATTCTTAACATGATCGTCCAGAATTTCAACCAGTCTCTCCTCTTTTACAGCTACAAGGAAGTACATTGCAAGGTTTCTCTGCTCTTCTGGCCTTTCGAACGACAGCGCCTTCTTTCCAGTTAACAGCTCTACAATGACAACTCCAAAGCTGTAAACATCGCTTTTCTCAGTTAACTGACTCGTGTGGAGGTATTCAGGATCTAAGTACCCTAGAGTTCCTTGAACAATCGTAGATAAGCCAACTTGATCAAGCGGAACCAATCTTGAAGCACCAAAATCAGCCACTTTCGCGGTGTAAGCATCGTCCAAGAGAATATTTGTCGACTTGATATCTCTGTGAATAATCGGAATAGAAGCTGAAGAATGCAAATAAGATAGCACTCCTGCAGTTTCTGCTGCTATTCTCAGACGAGTTTCCCATGTGAGGCTCGAGGCTCTGCTCTTATCGTTGACGTGATCGAAAAGGGTGCCATTGGTTATATATTCATAAACAAGCAAAGGTACTTCTGTTTCTAAACAGCAACCCAGAAGTTTCACAACATTTCTATGATTGATTTGAGAGAGAACAAGCACTTCGTTAATGAATTGATCGGTTTGAGTTTGATCCACGACTTTAGATTTTTTTATTGCTACAATTCTACCATCCGTCAAGGTCCCCTTGTAAACTGTTCCATAACCACCTTTACCAAGAACTCTGCTTTCTGCATAGTTATTGGTTGCTTTTTCAAGTTCTTCAGCCGTGAAGATTTTAGCTGTCTCTGATGATGAACATCCTTCCTTTTTCGAAAGCTGCTGTTGCAGCAGTAACCCTCCATTTTGCTTGAAGAATTTCTCTTTCAGTTTCACGAGCTTCCATTTATTGAAACCCCAGTACAGCCATGAGCTACCCGTTAGCAATACCAATATCCCCACGCCAACACCTACAAATTATATATCAGTTTAATCATGTCGCCATAATATTCCAATTGCTTTGCATTATTATATGAATTCAAAATTATGTAACAGGTTGGATACTGACCGACAGTTATTTGAATCACCAGAGGCCTATCAGGAATGCATCCTTCTCCATCCTTTCTACCATCTCCGTGATGTCTTTTACGGCATGAACAATTGTATCCTCCCACCTTGTTAGTGCAGATGTGGGTGCAATTATGACTTCGATCTTTGCATTCATCTATATCTGCAAATGAGTCGCAGGAAATTGTTATTTGTTTCTGAAGTTCTGCTTACCAAAAGCTACTTCATGTATAGGGGATAATATATATATATATATATACATATATATATAAAACAAAAACTTATTCATATATATATATATATGGAAAGAGAGAGAGAGAGAGAGAGAGATACCTTGGCAACCATCAGGGAGGTATGGATTTCCGTCATAACCAGATAAGCACCGGCAACGATAACCAGACCCGTTATCAGAATCATAACAAGTGCTGTTACCCTCGCATGCGTTACGCAACGTCCTTTGTTTCACTTCCTTGCATGTCTCGTTTCCAATTGTCCAATCAAGAACCATAGGAATCTTTGTTACATTTTGTAAATCACGAAGATAATTTGAAGTAAAATTAAACCAGCTGTCTTGGACAACAAACGCGAAGCTACAGGGGTTGAAGTTCCAGACTTCAGTATGGTTGTTGAAGCTATTTATATCAACTTCAAAGTAACTTACACCCTTGGCAATGGATGTCTGACAACACCCGATGCCCGAACACGAAAAGTTGGCTACGTAGTGAATGCTATGACAGATCGAAATGCAACCTACGGTGTATCCTAGAATTTGATAAGCTTGGTAACCATCTAGATAGGCTTGGGTGTCGCAACCAATAGCAATAAACTTATTATCAGTATCAGAGATGATGAATTTGGACAGACTGAGACTCGGCCGTCTTTTTAAAAGCCGGGTACCATTCTTGGCATAGCAATTTCTACCCAAGAATTGCAAGACATGAAGCTTTCCTTCAAGTGTGATTTCCGTGACATTGATGGTGCTTCCTGTTAAAAATGCTTTGGGTGGATCAATTGTATCATTACAGTTGATTAAGAACTGTTTGTCGTAGTAACATTCTTCTGAGACTCCAAACGGGTATGGGATGCTAACGTTGCCGCAAGTATCTCGGCAACCAGGTTTAGCAATAGGAAAACCTGCTGTTATTACCACCCAAATCGCCATAAATATTACAACAACACCGTAGCTTTTCATGCTCCTACACACAGCAGCTTCTCTAGATTCTGGTATGGAATATTTCAATGTCTACAAGTGTTTGTCTTTGCAGTCTTGAAGTTGCAGATTGATTCTTCATTTATTGACAACCTCAAGTTCAGACCAATTCACTTCTTTGACTTCTCTATAAATCACGTTTACTAACTCAACTATAATTTTTCTTACTTATCCATATATTATCTCACAAATATTATTAATACAACTACAAGTTTTTCAGCTGATGTACGTGACTATGAAAGGCCAGATTACTTTCAGAATTACCCTAATTGACAATGTAAACTTGAGTTTAATTTATGATATATTTCATTTTTAGGTTTTAAGAAAATATGAAAGTCAGACTATTTCTCAGCACAAATGGATGATTAATTAATTAAATTAAGCTTAATTAACATGAATGTTGAAATACCACCAGCAAGCTGACGCCAAAGTTCAATTAAACTATTAATTACATCACTGCTATAAGTTCCTACCATGATTAAAACTTGATTAGACCCAACCTGAATGATGCTTAAAAATAATATAAAAAAAAATGAAAAAAATAAAAAAACTGATTGAGATTTAACTAGTTTCTTTTGACATTGTCATATTATAAATTTATTCATTTAATTTAATAGATTAATTAAATAATCTGATGGATTAATTGATATTCAAGACACTTAATTACTAATTAAAGAATAATAAACCTCAATTATCCATTAATCACATTACTTGTCAAACTTAGAGGATATATAATTAAACAATAATTCTTTATTCTTAGACTCTTTTGTTCGTGGCTTATTTACTTATTGCCATTATAAATTCATATGTTCAAGTTTATGTATGAAATTATGGTGGAAAGCTTGTGAAATATCCTTCTCTACATACTGGGTGTTCAATTTTACTTATAACACATAATCATATATGCTTAAGGATTGTGCTTCTCCAAAGAAAGGAGAAGCCAAGATCTAGACGAAGCTAGCTTCAGACGTACAGACCTAAATATTGAGTACAACTTTTAAAGGATTATGAAAAGATTATAACTTTAATATTTATGAGAAATGGTCCATAAGACCATGAGTAATCTATGGTATTTACAATTTTAAGAGATCATCATCCTAAATTTAAGAGTTCTTGAATGTTAAGCGATTCAAAGTTACAACCAACAAGCTCTTACTTCGACAATTGTTGTATGGTAATATGAAGTTCACACGAGTTGACTTCATAAATTTATTAGTCCCTAAAAGATCCCAGATTTACCATACATATAATCACTTTTTAAGAATATAATCTTGTTAAGCTGCATATTTCAGTCATAGAACGTAAGGATAAAATAGCCATTGCTGCAAAATCGGTCAACAAGCTGTTGTTGCATGAAGCAGTTGTTGCACCATCCCATTTCCTCCATTATCTTTAGTTGTTTAAATATAGAAATTTGCGGTTGTATTTTTATATACTTAGACCATTCCCAAGTAACAAGGAAAACAGACAACTTTGAATCAAAAAATTTTGTAGTTTATTCTCACCCGAAGAGAATTTCTTTACCAATTTTTTTAACTTCTAACTGTGACCTATCAGATCCCATATTCACTATGATAAGTAATGTTGTGAGAAAGTATTTTAGAAAATTAAAATTGTAATACCCTAAATTAATTTTTAATGTAATTTAAGATTTATTTATAAATATAATTTCTTAATTTTTTAATTTAAATTTAGAGTAAAAATAAAATAAAATTGATTGAGGATTAAATTGAAAACAATTTTAGGAAAAATTAGTAAAAATTTGAGTTTTTTAGGTATTTTTGAAAGAAAAATCAGAAACTAAAGGTCAAAATACAAGTTAGAGAAGTTTCGTCATGTAGGATGCCCGGTCAGCAGCTCTGACGAATCAAGACGCACCGCGTGGTAGCGGACGCTGACGCGGTGCCATGCGGGTGATCCGCGTGCCCGCGATCGAACAGCTCAGATCCGTTTCTGCGAGCACGAACAACCCAGATGCATTTCCTCCCCAAACGCGATCGGGCGGTCAGATTTGAACGTGATCAGACGGTCCAGATTAGATCGCAGTGAACAGTTCATATTGGATCGCAGTGAATGGTCCAGATTCACTCCCTATTTAATCGCGATCGAACGGTTCAGATCAAACGCGATGGACGATCCATATCAAAAGCGGACGGATATAAATAACTCTCATCTACACCAAACTCTAACCCTAGCCGCCAGACCCCCTCACCGGAGAAGAAGATCCAGTCGCTGGGAAGGAGACCGCCGCTACTGCGATCGGAGTCCTTTCCAACCGCGAAAAGAGGTAAAAAAAAAATTTTACTTAGAATTTTATTTTAAACACACCCATGGCCAAATTAGAGTAAAAAGACCGGCCGATTGCCTGAAAAATATGGGTAAAGCCTGGTAACACCACCACGGAAAATTTCACAAAACGCCTTCGATGAGACTCCTCCCGATTCCTGTTCTGCATAATTTTTCTACCCTTGTTATCACCGTTTTCTTCTCTACAGGTTGACCGGAATAAAACATCCAACTGCAACGTGAGCCGGAGGAGCCGTCGCACTAGAGAGTCCTGCCACCAGTGAGTTTCGATTTTTTGTATTTTTTTAGCCAACCGAGTCCCTTTAACATATTTTCTCACAGGAATTGATGCGAAATCGGTCGAATCTGGCCGAAAATAGCCGAAAACAGCCGATCCGAGGTGGACCGCCGTCACTGGAGCATTGCGGAGCCGCCGTGGTGGAATCCCAAAATTGGCCAAAATGGGCCCTGAAACTGATTTAAGTTTGGGACATTTATAGGTACTTATAACACGTTTTTATTCTCGAAAAAAAATTTAGAGAACCCGGGGACCGCTAGTAGACGCAATCAATAGTTTAGCCTTTTGCGCACCAAATTAAGTAAGAATCTCTCATCTATTCTCTGTTATAGAATTAAAGTCTAATTAACAATAAATATGATATTTTGTACAATTTAGAAATTTTCATGATTAATTACGGATAGTTAATAGAGGTAGAATCGGAAACTATTCTCTATTGATTTCTGTTGATTGTTTTTACAGTTTAAATGCATGATAGTGCCTTATTGATTTATTTTATAGTTTTGAATGTATGTTTGTTATTTTACGTGTTTACGATTAAATTGAAAAAATAGAGGGTAAAGGTAAACGGAAGACTTGTGTGATTAAATGACTGGATGAAACGGCAGCTTTATTGGACATACTGGGAGATAGTGGATGGACCGAGTATACAGGGAACCCTACCATAGACGTGTCTCATACCGGACGAGGTATGGAGACTTGGTAACTTGGCACTCATATCGAACGGGCTATAGGGACGGCCCGCTTCACCCTCATACCAAATAAGGTATTGAGCTTTGGTAATTTGACACTCATACCGGACGGGGTATGGGGACGACCCGTAATTGAGAATGTTAAAGGAAAAAGTTCACGCGTAGCGTAGAGATCCCTATGAACCTCCGTGGATACCAACAGGTTGGTGGAAAAAATGGGCAATTGTTGTTTGATGATTTGAATGTGAAAGTGTAATATATGCTATGTTGCCAATTATATACAGAATTATGATATGTATAATGTTATTATTTTTTATAGGTTGTTTTCTATAAATCTCACTACGATAAGTGGACGGTTAATGGTTTTATTATTGATAAATGAATTTGCTTAATCTAGTGCTCTATTAGTTATTTTTTTTTACGTTTTTTACCAAACTTTATTTATGTGTCGGTGATATAGTGTGATATTCTCCCTAATATAGTGTAACTTATCCCTTTTTAACTATTTCAGATCAATATAATTAAAATTCAGAGCCCAATCCGCAAGAGAGCTGCGAGTAAAATGCTAATTTTTTTATTTTTCATTCATATTTTATTTCTTATATTCTTTCAAAATGGTAAATTTTGAAATACTAATTGATACTTTAATTTATTATGTAAGTAATGTAAATCTTAAATATTTATTTTGATTCCGCACTTTAATTATCATGTATTTCCTTTAAATATTTCTAGTATCATTACAAAAACATTTACAAAGACTAGAAAAACAAACTTTTCATTATATATATACATATGTACGTATATACTATTAAAGCATTAATAAGAATTGAAAGAGTAAACGGTTCATTGCATATTATTAAATACATACATGTATATATACATAATTTGAATCACCATTAAAGTTTTATACTAACTACATATATAAATCAATAGATAATATATACATATATGTGTATATATACATGTATTAATAATTGTAAAACAATTAATTTTCTTGGTACAGACATAAATAAGGCTTGGTCTTTTCAATTCGAAAATAAAATATACGTGGGGAAATTGCTTTGGGTTTAGAAGTTTTAAATTGAATTACATAATTAACTAGAAAGTAGTTGTGTATGTTAATAAAATGTACATGGGAAACTTGTGTTGCACTAAATATATAGCATTTGAATTAAAAATACATAATATATGATATATATATATATATATAAAATCAAAAATTATATCCCCCTTAACAAAACTATTAAATCATTTTGCTGTAAATAACAAAGCTATATATAAATTTAAAAATAATTGCAAATATCTTGCAACCGTAGCACTTATGATCAAGAATACACTGTATAATAATTGATAAAATATAGTGATAATTGTTGGATCATGTTAACAAGCACCATATCTAACACTCTCAATATTTCTCATAATTAAATTAGTATGTCGTTTCAGTGGTTGATTAATAAGGTAATATACCATATATGACAAAAAATTAATTAGAAAAATCATCGTGAATTTTTAGTTTAATGAGACTTATCTATCATATAGTGAACTAGTATTACAGTATTTATGATTCAGTAGTGACAAGCAAGTATTCAGTCTCTTCATCCTCTGAAGTAACTCCATCATAATGTTGAGAATGTGGACTCATTTCGTTAGTAGAAATCTCTTCTATTGTTGGAAGCTTGTCTATTCCTTTTAACCTCTCCAACTCTATCGCTACTTGCTTCATTGTTGGTCTATTCTTGCCATTGATGTTTAAACAGTTTGTTGCAATCTTTGCAACAGTAGTTATTTCTTCTTCCTTTCCGACCTCATTGGCAATATGAAGGTCAATAATTTCAAATAAACGATTATTCCTCATGAATCGTGAAAAATAGATTGCCAAGCTTCTATCATCCCCTTCAGATAGTGCAGGAAAAATCGGTTTCTGTCCAGTTAAGAGCTCAGCAAGGACAACTCCAAAACTATAAACATCACTTTTTTCTGTAAATTTGTTTGACTGGCAATACTCTGGATCTAAATATCCAAAAGTTCCTCGTACTTGAGTAGTGAAATGAGTTTGATCAACTGAAATGGATCTAGAAGTCCCAAAGTCTGATATCTTTGCTCTATATTTTTCGTCCAATAATATATTTGTAGACTTGATGTCACGATGATAAATAGGCATTGAAGCAGCACTATGTAAATAAGACAAAGCGTTTGCAACTTCTGTGGCGATTCGTAAACGTATGTCCCAAGTAAATAGGAATTCGGTATTATCAGTTTGATGAATTATGTGAGATAGTGTTCCATTTGGGATGAACTCATAAACAAGTAGAGGAACTTCAGTCTCTAAACAATATCCGAGTAATTTTACCACATTTCTATGGTTAATTTGTGATAGAATCACAAGTTCATTGATAAATTGTTGAAGGTAACTTTCATCCACAACTTTTGATTTCTTGATAGCTACGATTCTCCCATCCTCTAACATCCCTTTATAAACAGTGCCCTGTCCTCCCTTACCCAAAATTCTATTCTCGTTATAATTGTTAGTAGCATGCTCCAACTCTTTAGCACTAAACAATTTTCCTTTTTCCATATTACTCTCATCACTACTGCCACACAATTGTTGTTGTAATATCAATCCTCCGTTCCTCTTAAAATATCTTTGCTTAAGCTTTACTTTCTTCCTTCTTTTCACTTGTTTCCTTAACCACAAACTACCAATCACTAAAACCATTATGCCAAATCCTGCACTGCAACCTGAAATTGCAAAACTCAATTATACTTTGTCATGCCTTTCATCCTAATTTATACATAATGGTGTTAGTCAACCTTAGTTTATGTGTAGGTACAAATACTTACCGACAGTAATATGGATTAATAAAGATTCCTCAAGAATGCAACCTTCCCCGCCTATCCTTCCGTCCCCACGATGTCGTTTTGGGCACAAACATGTAAAGCTTCCCTTTGTGTTAGAGCAAGCGTGTGAACAATTATGGAGACTTCGACTTTTGCATTCATCTATATCTACAGCACAGTTGAGGATCTATTCATTTAAGTAATCATTTCTTTTATTATATCTTTATCTTATTAAATAAATAGGCTTCCGAGTTCATAATTAACAGTAAAACTTTTATTCAGGATTAATATCTTTACCATCCATTCTTCTTTTTTTGGAAAACGAAGAAGAAGAAGAAGAAGAAGAAGGAGGAGGAGGAGGAGGAGGAGGGGGAGGAGATCATCACTAACCTTGGCAACCATGAGGCAAGTACGGATTTCCTTGATAACCCTCTTGGCACTTGCACTTATATCCAAACACAGTTTCTGAATCGTAACACTGGCTATTTTCCTCACAAGCATTACGCATCATTTTCTCTTTCACTTCCTTGCAACTTGCACCGCCAATCACCCACTCAAGAACCAAAGGCAGCTCTCTTAATGTTCCCAGACCGCCAAGATACTTTGAAGAAAAATTGAACTGGTTTTCCTCAACGATAAAAGCGTAGCTACATGGATTGAACTCCCAAACAAGCTTATGATTGTTAAAGCTACTCATATTTATGAAAATATAATTTACTCGTTTGTCAACAGCGACTGGTATCTGGCAACACCCCACACCTGAACATGAGCTGCTGTCTACGTACTCAAGGCTGTTGCAAGTACTGGAGCAGCCTAATTTGTATAACAGGCTCCGATTACTACCTCGAGAAAACATGACTTCAGCTTGAGTGTCGCAGCCAAGAAAGACAAGCTTGTTGTCAGTTGGGGAGATCATGAAGCTGGATAGGAACGAGGACCAGTCGGCTCTGATCAATTCACCTGCCTTGTTGTAGCAATGCCTTATTATGGGCTGCATCATTTTCAACTTTCCCTCGAGCGTGATGCTGGTGACTCTCCTATTGGCCGCTGTAAAAAAGGGTAAGGGAGGATCAAATGTTTGGTTGCAATTGATCAGAAAGCGATCATCGTAAGAGCATTCTTGGGTCGTCCCAAATGGGTATGGGATGATTAGGTTGCCGCAGCGATCTGCGCAACCGGGTTTGGCGAGAGGGAATGATTCAGAGCTGGGTGGTGAAGATGATGATGAAAGAAGCCAAATGGATGTGGATAGCAGAAGCAATATGATTCTAATTTCTGCAATTGCCATGACTGGGGTAGCTACAGCCTATAGTTAAATTTTGGAGAAATGAAAATTCTGGTTGAATCAATATTGCCGTAGCAACATCTGCGTTTTATATTGTTAGTATTCAGCACATCTTAATCTGAAAATCAAAGATCTGACGTGTTGGAGGTATATAAATATTCATTTCATAGTCAATGATGCTGCCAAGTGATTGCAACCCTTTCTACTTATCAATTACTAGTTTATTTCTAACTCAGTCCATCTACATATATATATATACACACACACACACACACATATACAATTGCAGAGATTTTTTTTCTCTCCTCGTGTTACAATGTAATTGGGAGATTTTTTTAATTAAAATTTTACTTATTTATCAAGAATTTATATATACATATTAATAATAATATAATGTGTAAAGGTATATACGAAAATAATTGGATTCAGACACCAATTTCAGAGTAAAAAATAATCACATACGAAACACGCTTAAACGGTCAACCCGTGCTTTGCACACACTTGCGGGCGCGTCAGTGAAATTGACGTGAAGAAATGGTCAACGATGTAGTTTTTTTTTTTTCTTTTTTTGACTCATTCAGCCCAAAATTTCCACTACGTAAAAAAATGATGATATTATCGTCATGCAAATTTTAAATTTACATAAAATAATTCAAAAAATTATAATAAGTCAAATTCCCAATAATTTAATTTTAGAAAATAGATAAAATAATAATAATATTTTTGAACCAAAATTTAATAAACCATATATCTATTGCATGACAACATTTTAAGTTTTCAAATATATATATAATAGTAGAATTAGGAACTAATTAATAACAATATACATACAATATTCGCTATATCATCATCATGTCAATTGCATTTTCTTAAAACTCAAGAACATTATAACCAGCAAGAAAATTGGATAAAAGATTATACATCCAATATCTCAGTGACATATAAATGCAGAAAAATTCAAGCAATTTGAACCTTCCGCATGCAGATAATGAATATCATATGAGGAAAAAAACAAAGCAAAATTTGAACATGATGCAAGATTCGTGTATATGTATGTACATATATATATGTATATATGTATATATGCACTCACACACAGAAATTTCTAGAGAAAAATGAAGCAATCCAACGAGATAAGAGGGTTGTCGATGTCCTCTATTAGAATGCAGTCGGTGTTACTTTCTTGACTTGAAACGGCGTCCATAACTGCTGTTTCATCGATTTTAGAACTAACACGATGTACGCGAGTCTCTCTGTTTCCAGTGCTCGCTTTCCTATTTGGACTCGCCGGCCCGAAACTTTCCTGTCTTGAAACAGAGCTTGTTGCGTTTAGCTTCGGACCAACCACACGCGTCTTAGAGCAGCTTTCCTTTAAGGGATTGGTCAACGCTCCCACGCCGTTTTCACTGCTAAATCTCCTGCTAGGAGAAGGTGATCTCAAACCAGTTCTGCTAGGCCCGTAGGGATAGTGGTTTCGGGAGCTCTTTTGCCGGGTTAGGGTGGTGTTATTGGGAGAACTAGAACGGACCCTCTTGTGCGGCGTAGAGCCAGAGCCAGAGCCAGAGCCAGACCCAGCTAGAGTTCGAGAGAAGAATTGTTTGAACGGTGGCGATGTGTGGGAGTGAGATATCTTGGTGGTTGGTAGTGAAAGAGAGTGTTCCCTTATAGAGTTAATACGAAGGATATGTGGGTTATCTCTGTAACAGGCTCTCAAGAATTCATTGGAGAAAGATCTGTCGACCTTGGAGGTGATCAAGAGTGAAGACGCAGTGGTTGAAAGGGAGGAGGAGGAGGATGATGAGGTGATTGTACTGGTGCTGGGAGTAGTAGCAGAAGTCGAGGAATAGAGAGAAGAATTAGAAGGGGAAGAAGGTGAAATTATAGGGGAGATTTTGTTGTTTGAGAAATTAGGAATAGGATTGTTGATGATGTTTCTTGGCAAGGAAATTAAAGGGTTTACTTTGTTTGATAAATGGGTTAATTTGTTGGGTTGTGAGGAGATGACAAGCTTATCTTGTACAAAGTTGAGTTCATCTACCAGAGCCCTCTTGGGTTTGCATTTGCTAATGCAGCAACCCATCTTGTTTTGGCTTCTTCTTGGTTTGGGAAACACAAAAATCTATGCCCGCACATATATATATATATATATATATTATATCAATATATATATGTACAGAAGAAGATGGTCGTTAGATTTGAAAAGGAAAAGCTAATGCTTTGGCTTTTGCTTTTGCTTTGAGTGCTTTTAGCTTTTCAGGTTATTTTGAATTTGCTTGCCGGGTATGGATTTATGAATCCGTTTGTACAACGGATATATATTGAAGCCGCCATTTCACTCACTTTGCTTTTTATTTCCACCGTTGATTTCTTAATTATAACTAGTTTTAAAAAATTAAAGTTCAATTTTTGTACGAAATTATAAAAAATAATTTTAAATTATACTAATATATTATTTTAATTTTAAACAAGATGTAATTTTCATCATTTTAAGATAAAAATAATAAATTTATAAGTAAATTCACAAGACATACATACATATATATATATATATATATATGTATATATATGTATGGAATAGATAAAACCAAGAAGAGGATTTTATTATCCTTACCCAAACAGGGGCCTAAGACTTGGAACGGTTTGAAGCTTTCACCATAATCTTTTATGATGACTCAAACTTTATATTATCTCATTTACAATCATCAAATGTTAATCCAATACATATATTTATAGATATGATTATAATTATTTTAAGATTCTAGAATGGATGTAGTAATAAACTCGTGTTCACCGTTTATGAACCTATAAATTAATATATTTAATTATAAAAATAGACCCACAAAAAATAAAATAAAATATATTTTAAAAGTTAAATCTATTACTACGAGCGATCATTATCTGGTTTGAACTGAAAAACCGAATTGAAGTAGACCGCATAAATGTTTAGTCTAGTCTTCGGTCCAAAAATTTTAGAATCTAATTTTTTTTTATTTAGTCTGATCTACATTTAGTTTGATCTAATTTAGATCGATTAATATATTTTAATATTAAAAATTAAAATAACATATATGTACATTATATAAATTATGCAAATAAAACATTAAGGTATTAAATATATAACTAATGTATATATGTAGACTAAAATTTCATCGATTGAATCTTTAGCTTTAATATGATACGTTCAATTTTAGACTAATGTTTGTCTTAATCTAATATTGTATTTATTCATTATAATTGTATATATATTTGTTATTTTTCGAATTATGTCTAATGATAACATTGACTCGGTCCAAATAATTCAAACAAACACGTAGTTTAAATCATTATAGTGAGAGTTGATGAAATTACCTCATTCAAGGTTGGCATTCATCATCATCAATTATTATTATTTTAATTAATTTTAGTTTATTGTGATATATAAAGCTAATTTAATTTTGAAATTTAGAATTCCATACAAAATGATATTATTACATCTTTTTGGTAATAGGACTTTTCACATTATATTTGAACTTGTTTATTGCAATTGAATCATTATATTAAATTATTGCCATTTGAATTATTTTATTCTTTATAACGAAATAATTTTTTTTCTTTCTAATATTTGGGGAATGAACTCGGTTTTCCATGGTGATTGGGAATGAACCCAGATGGAACTACGTACCTGGGAAAATGTGTATTGATACATACAGTACCAGTTGAATATATGTATATGTATAATATCGAAATAGGAAACCAAAATGATGTTTAAGAAAGATACATAAACACGTAGTGGTAACAAAAGAAGGAAATGAAACAAAATTCTGAGAACTGAAAATTTCAGTAATGGCAGAAAGTATCAATAAGGAGAACCAGGGTTATTTGAGTGGGAGCAGCAGCAAGAAGAAGATGCTATGGATTGGAGGAAGAGATTAAACGCCATCGTTTTTACTGACCTCCTTGGTTTCGGCATCACACTTGCTGGTTTTGGCTTCAACCACTTTCTTCCCCCACTGTCCTCAGCCTCCATTTTTAAAAGCCTCTTCTCCTCTGCAAAATCTTTTTCTTCACTCGTCTTCATCTTCTTCTTCTTCTTTACCACCTCTGTACTCTGCACTGCGTTTTGCCCCTTAATAAATAGACTTGTGATGAAGAGGGTTTATGCCACGTAATCGCCTCTTTGCCAGAAATGCCAACTTGGAAAAAGTTATAATTAAAATTTTATCCTTTAAGATGACTTGTTGACCAAGTCATTTAAGAGACAGATGTACACGTGTCACTTTCTCCTTAATTCTCTTTCGTGTTTTTAAGGCCCATTTAAGAGACTGAGCCCAAGCCCATTTACACATCCGGGCTTATCCTACAAGTCACAAAACGGCACCGTTTGTCTGTTTGCCCCTTGACGAACGACAAAGGTTGTTTTGTGAACGGCATACGGCACCGTTGAGTATCGGGTGTTCTGCTCTACCCTCCGTCGAATCTTCTGGATCTTAACCGAGACAGGGCAGAGGAATAGAAAGACAGGCGTTTATCTGGAAAATCCAGTGATAGAGGAGATGAAGGTGACATGGACCAAGAAGACGAAGAAGCGGTCATTGGGTGCTATATCCCACTACCCAAGTCTCCCTTTTGACCAAGAAAGCCCGGATAACAACCAACAGCACCAATCTGATTCAGAACTTAAAACGGGGGATCATCATCTTCCTGCTCACTTTGATTCTCGCTCTAAACAGCTAGCCGAGTCGTTTCAACTCCAAGGAAACAAGTTTGCTGAGGTATATTCCCTACCTCCCCAGTAAATCTTTCTTTCTCCCCAGTTTATTCTAATAATTATTTTCATGGGTTTTGGGCAGAGTTCCATCGTAAAATTCGGAAATTTTGCTAAATTGTTAATCGGGTATTAATAGGTTTGAGACATGGTGGAATGGATGATTGTTATGTGCCTATCACTACTTTAGTTATCTTGTAATTAGCTCGGCTTGGTAATTTTGTGCATCTCTTTCCAATTATATTTAAATTATCTGTTTTTCTTTGGAAGGAAGGAAAATACCCAGAAGCACTTGGGAAATGGGAGGCTGCTCTGAATTTGATACCGGAAAATGCAAAACTGCAAGAACAAAAGGCCCAAGTTTTACTGGAAATTGGAGATGCATGGAAAGCACTCAAGGCAGCCACTCGTAGGTTCTGTTTTTATTTTCTCTTTTTGTTTTATTTCTGCATGAAATTGCCAGATGTGTTTCTAAGTCTTTCATTCATGTTGTCTCCTTCCTTTGATCGCATTGCATCTGCATGTCCATGCCCTTGGAACAGTTTATTTTCAGCCGCAGACTATCTTTTGGGGTTTCATGATTCCTTCACTGGTTGTTTTCTACAATTTGATTTTAAGAGTACACTATACTTTACAGGAGCTACTGAGTTGGAACCTTCATGGGCTGAGGTACTTAACCCTTTACCATTTTATACATAAAATTTGGCATCTTCATCTGGAGATGCTCTTGTTTCATCAAGATTATCAAAATGGAAGAATAATTAGAAGAATATTTTGTTATGTTTTTCAATGTTACATGTTAAATACTAACTGAATGTTTCATATCATGTTTAAGGTTGGGGTGATTGCTCCGACTGCTGAACTTCCTCTATTGATATAAACATATAACTGAACTGATTTTGGACTGTGTACAACTCGGCAATGTTGTGTGCTAATTTCCAAATTCTGCAGACATCTTATATCGTGCATATTAACTGAAGTTTGGGAGTAAGCTATGAAACTGCAGCTGGACATATTTTACTGAAGTTCAGGACAGGAACTAGCTGTTAAAACCTGCCTGACAGTTCCTTGAATCATTAACTTTAGATTCGCCATTGGCTTGTTGGCATGTCAGCAAATATTTATAGTGCTTTATATGTTAATATCTCAGTCAAGGTCTCTTTCATGTTCTACTTAGCCTTTGTGATTGTATGAAGAGCCTGCCTGTCCCTTTATGTGCATGCATAAATCATAATATGCGTGTCTTATTTTGGGTAAATCTTCAAAGTGAAAAGTAGATGTTCGTTCTATTCTTCATCACTAGTTAATTGGTAGAGTAGTTGTTGCATACAAGGTGAGATCCTAAATGGCCTGGACTCACTGCTGTTACCAGTGCAGTAGTAATTGCAGTTGCTGCTGTCCTAGCTTGCAATTATATTAAAGTTATAGAAGGTGCATTCATGTTATTTTATGTTGTCTTTTTTGTTTCTTACTAAAGTGGATCTTCCAGGCATGGATCACCCTTGGGAGGGCACAGTTAAACTTTGGGGAGCCTGATAGTGCTATAGAAAGTTTTGACAGGGCATTAGCTATCAAGGTAACTTTTAAGAAATATGGTCCATTTGGTACATGAAAATCTTTTCTAGTTTTTATGCATTGTTTACTAAATTCGCATGTATTTATGCATAGGTTTATTCACAAAATGTGTAACAGTTGCGTACTTCGGGAATAATAAAAGCACGAATAAGATAATTTTCTAAAAAATACTAGAAACAACATTTTGAAATTTCCTTACTTCTTCACTTTCATTATCATCACTATCATTTTCTTTTTTGTTATCTAATTTATATGGCCCTCTGAATAAACTAAATATTAATTTAGGAAATAAAAACTAGACAATATTTTCATTTACCAAACAGAGCCATAATCTAATGGAATTTCGTTTGGTTTTAGTGATTACAAAAGCTATGCTCTTCATTTCTGGTATTGTTCTCTGTCTGAGCTTTTAAAACTTGGATCTCGAGTCTCTGGCTATCTTCACATTCATGATTAAGTGAAAAATTAGTTTGCAACATAGAGAAACCTGGCTGAATTAGTCTTCTTGTTTACACTTGAGCACAGTGTTTATCAGGCAAAAAGAAAATGCATGTATATGGAAACATCAACTTTGGAATGTTGTGACAAATAGAAGCAGCAGAATGTAATAGGTGTTCCATATTGTTATTACTTTATTTCTAACCTTTTGGAACATGAACGATTTATGAAATTACAGCTATTGAAGTTGTACTTGAAGGGCTTAATGGTTTTGTTTCCCCCATTAAAAGTTATATTTCTGTTTTACACAATAAGAATTGTATGATTGAGGTTTTCATAATCGTAGCTATCACATGCAGCCTGATTCCGAGGAGGCTAAAGATGACAGACAAACTGCATTGCATCTTGTGAAGAGGAGAAAGCAGCTGCATGCATCAGGACTGAGCAATGATAGAAACCGATATGCTGTAGGGGATAATAAGACTGGGGGGGGGTCCTGAACGTGCTTGAGAAACAAAAAGGAAGAAGAATACTTCCTTTATTTTTGTATGGTATATATCTTTTCTCTGAGTCTTATCTGGTAAGTTGAGTGGAAAAGATTTAGATAATTCGCCAATGAATACAGTTGATGTTTGTCCTTTGAATGATGATAGAGAAGTCTTGATGCAGTAGGAAGGCAAACAAGGAGAATGGAGAACTCGATTCATGGGATCATTTGCAACTGGCAGCCCAGATAAAAGCGTAAGTTGGCAGAGGGGAAGACAAACTGGAGGGGAGGGAGAGTTGTACTTGCAGCTGAATTGCCTCTGCTGAGTTAGTGATTTATGCGGAGCATCCCTCGTGATTTTACTTCATCTGGACTGGGATTGTATCTGAGTCCTATATATATACATACAAGTATGTGTGTGTGTGTGTGTGTGTTTGGGTGTAATATATATATATATATACACACACACGAAGTTATAAGTTTTGCTTATGCACCGTCTGGTTCCACTTTCCACTAAGCTGTGTTTACAGGTTTTTACATCTGGAAAAAGGTTACAATAATGTTTCAATGAATGATGTTTTAAAACATGGAGAGAAAAAAAAAAAAAAAAAAAGTTAAAATAAATTTTCCAAACAAATTTCAAATATATTTTTTTAAAAAAAATTTAAAATTTATTAGATAAATTTTAATAATATAATTTTTTTTAATATATTATATTGTTTATTTATACTGTTGAGACTAGTATAGTAATTTTGTTATTAAATTAGAAGTACTTTGGTAATTTTGAATTATTAAATTTAACATCAAAGTTTAACAAATAATAACAACATAAACTGTAGAATAATTTATAAAATTTTATTAATAACATAAGCTTTGGTAACATATTATATTGTATTATTAATGCCCAAGTTCATGATATTTATCTCTTCTTTAAAAGAAAAAAAAGAAATTCATATTAATGTATTTAGTAATAGATTAACAAGTATCTAATTACTGATTACTATGCCAGCTTACTGGTAAATGTATCTAATTATTTATTTAACGAGTACATCGCGTCAACCTTGTAGCTTGTATGACTACTGTTGGATGAATGCTAATAGTTATGGCCGGCCGGAAAAACAATCCTGACTTTATTGCGGCTGATTCAGCAGTGCGTATGAGAATTAAAAAGAAGTGGACACTACGTATATATAGTTCTTTATATATGTATATATATATAATATTAAAAGAAATGGACGCTAAGACATGGAAGTAATTAACTGAAAGATTTGGCGATTTCCCTGAGCACAAACTTCTGAATCTTGCCGGTGGAAGTCTTGGGCAACTCTTCTTGAAACACCACCCTTCTTGGCACCATGTATCTCGGCAGCCTTCCCTTGCAAAACTCCCTTATCTCCTTCTCCGTCGGATTCCGAGCCAACCCGCTCTTCAAACTCACGAACGCACACGGAATCTCCCCCCAGAACTTGTTCGGCTGCGCCACAACCGCCACTTCCTTCACCACCGGGTTCGAGTACAACACTGACTCCACCTCCGTGCTGCTTATGTTCTCTCCCCCACTTATTATCACGTCCTTGAACCGATCTCTCACCTCCAGGTACCCATCTGGGTGCACCACCGCCGCGTCCCCGGTATATAACCACCCGTCTTCTCTCATGCACGCGGCACTTCCTTCTGGATTCTTTAGGTATCCTAGCATCACGTACGCCCCTCGCAAAACCACCTCGCCCATCATTAACCCGTCTCGCTTCACGCTCTCTCCACTTTTGGGATCTATCACGTCGACCTCACCGAATCCTAGCTTCCTCACTCCTTGTCTTGCCTTTAACCTTGCTCTCTCAGATAACGGCAACTTGTCCCATTTGGGTTTCCAGGCGCAAGACACGGCGGGACCGGCCGTCTCGGTCATCCCGTATCCATGACTCACCACGAAACCCAGCGACTCGACTCGTGATAGGATCGGGGCAGGAGGTGGCGCTCCGGCTGTGTAGATGTGCACAGGGTGGTCAAGGGGTTTCTGCGGCGTGTTTTGGGAGTTTGATAGCATGTTGAGCACCACAGGCGCACCGCACATGTGGGTCACCCTGTGTCGCTCAATCAAACGGTACATCGCCGGCGCGTCGACTCTACGCATGCAAACGTTGGTTCCACCAATCGCCGCCATGCCCCACGGGAAGCTCCATCCGTTGGCGTGGAACATCGGTAGGGTCCACAAGTAAACTGGTCGATTAGGCATTGACCAGTCAACGAGTGAGTCAACGGTTATAATAAAAATTCCCCGGTGACTATGAATCACCCCTTTAGGTGACGAAGTTGTGCCCGACGTGTAGTTCAAAACCATTGGATCCCACTCGCTATTAGGCCGGACCCACTTGAACTTCGGATCACCACCCTCCATCACTCCCTCGTAGGTGTCAAGAAAATCAACGGCTGACGTTGGTGTTCCCGCAGAGGCAGCACCGTCGTCGATGAGGACGAGAAGCGGAGGCTTGGTGTTTCGCGGGAACAAAGATACGGCTTCTAATAAGAGAGGTTGAGAGTCGTGGTCAACGAAGACGAGCCTTGATTCGCTGTGGCGCAGGAGCACGGAGAGAGCATGAGCGTCCAGGCGAAGGTTTAGGTTGTTGAGGACGGTTCCGGACATGGGGACAGCAAATTGGAGCTCGTACATGGAGGGGATATTTGGGGCGAGGACGGACACCACGTGGCCCCTCCCGATGCCGAGGGATGAAATGGAAGATGCCAGCCGGAGGCATCGATGGTTAGTCTGTGACCACGTGTACGAAACGGTGTCGTATACGACGGAGGGACAGTCACCATAAACGCAAGCAGCTCTCTCCAAGAAGCCAAGGGGTGTGAGAGGGGAAGAGTTTGCAGGGGTTGGGGTGATCATTAGCTCCATGACTGAACACCAAAGTTTATAACCAGGAGTTTTTAGTTACATTCATATCACTTATATACTTTGAACTTCGCGGTAGCAGAACCTCTTACGTCGTATTTTTAAGATATTATGAATATTTAAACGACAAAACTTGGTTGTTACATAATTTTCTACGTTTAACGAGAATTAGTAACATATTAATTATTGTAATCATACTAATATTTACCAGAATTAGTTGACAAATGGACTGCACAACAATATATGTATATACGTACATATACACACACACACACACACATATATATATATATATAGATTTCTATAAGCATCCGTCTCAAGATTCAGAACGACTTCTTCTTCTGTTTATCAAATTAATGTTGAAAGGTAACAAATGCGACGCTAAATTTGCAAAATATGGAGATTAATCACATTAACCAAGAGATTTCTTTTCTTCTACACAGTCAAACAATTCATAGATAATAAGATCGTCACTGTAGTTTTTATTTCCACACACACACACACACATATATATATATATATATGCTTATACATAATAATATACATTCATGCGTATGTAATATTTAACTACAAAAAGAAATACTTTTAAGAAATGCTAAACACAATTTTCCTTTTCAAATTGCGACCAAATTTTCATCATCACTTCCAATGTTATTTCCACTTTACTACTATAAATACACATTTTTATGTATATATACTGTAATACATTTACCAGTATTATCTAAAAATGTGGATACAGCAAAAAATATTTAAACTCACAGTTGAGATTTTATATGTTAACATTAAGTTGAATTATTTTAAAAAGAAAATTATGTTTAATTGAGTTTTTACTGAAATTATATCTGAATAATTATTTCTGCTACTATTTATTTGATTTAAAAACAAAAAAATTTATTTGTACTAACAATTTATATACTAGTTAAAAGTAAACTTAATATATATATATATATATATATATATATATATATAACACTAATGAAATAAACGTCAGAAAAAGCAATAGTTTTATATTTAACTTTTAGGTGATAAAAAGTAATAAACAAAATTAATACCATGAGTAAGACTGTAATATCAAATTAAGTTCAGTTGTCACGTTTCGTGTCTAAATACCACTAATCTAATAATTTTTCAAATCTAAATCATGGGTAATCATAATAACGTATTTTTATTATATGAGATTTAAATATCTTAAGTTGCATCAATTAGATTTTTTATATTTTCATCATATTTACATCTAAAAATAACAAATCGCAATCTAAGTATCCCACTAAGTCCAAGATCCCAATAATCCGAAGGTACCAAGTTGATACATGCTTGTGTTATACTAATATTATATTTATTGATTTTGTTTTAGTTGGATGCGGTTGTCGTTCATTTAAATTAATCTTAGGGGATGCTATTATTGCAATAAATTTTTACATTTAAAAAAGTGCTCTATTAGTATCAAAGTATTCAAATCAAGTAAAAAAAAAAAATAGTATATGAAAAAGAGTGTCTTCACAAAAAGAACAATTCAAATGAGGGTTAAATAGTAACACAAGCAAAAAGTAATAAATTGATTAACTAAATAAACTATGAATAATATCCTATTGAGTTTAAACGTGATCTATTAAACTTAAACATTACTAATCCGATAATTTTTTAGCCCACAATCACCGACAACCAAAAGTTAATCTCATATTATTAATAATGTACGATTTAAGTCCTTATATGGAGCTCAAAAGTCACATTTTTCTAATATATAAGATTTGTTGGATATTATAACTGCATCAGCCAAATTTTCGATATTCCCCAATCAAATCAATATAAAATAATCACAAATTAAAATTTAAACGTCGAATAAAATTTAAAATTGTATCAACTTAAAGTTATCAAGTTGATACACAATCCTTATTATGATAATGTTGTATTTGCTTATTATACTTTAGTTATGCACAGTTATTGTTCATGTATATTTGTCTTTCATGGTCATTGTTCAATAAATTGTCACTTAGAAAAATGTTCAATTAGCATCAATTCAAACAATATTAATAAGAGCAGATAAAAAAAATAGTTCATGAAAAAGAGTGCCTTGGCATAAAGAAGAATCCAAAGAAGATGGTTAAATAGTAATAGAAAATAAAAGAAATCATAAATTGATTAACTGAGTGAACTATATAAATAGTATCAAGTTTAGTTCAATTATAATGTTACGTAACCAAACACTATAAACCCAACAAATTTTTGAATCCAAATACTGGCCCCTAAAAAGATCAATCACAAGTCATTGGCAATATATACTTCACCTCTTATGTGACGTCCAATAATCATATACTTTTTTAATATGAGATTTGGATATCACAATCTGTATTACTCAAACTCTCAACGTTCTTATCAAGTCTACATACAACAATCACAATTCACGATTCAAATATCTCATAAAGTCTAAAGTCCTACCGACCCAAAGTTGTTGTGTTGATATTAGCTATGTTTTATGTTAATGTTGTATTCACTTATTATGTTTTAGTTTAATAAGGTTATCCTTTGTGTACATCTATCTATCTATACAGTTATATTGTTTCAATAAATTTTTACCTTTCAAAAAAAAATGGCCAATTAACATCAATGTATCCAAAAAAAGAATCAATAAGAAATGGATAAAAAATTAGTTAACGAAACAAAGTGTTTTGACATAAAGTAAAATCCAAATTACATTTAAATACTAACATAAGCAAATATATATATATATATATATGCAACTATAAATTGATTAACTAAGTAAACATCATAAATAATGTCATGTTGAATTCGACTGTAATATCTTGAGCTCAATTACTACTAATCAAATAACTTTTGGGAGAAATTCTAACCCTCAAAAACTTAATCTCAAGTGTTAGTAATATGAGACTCGGCCCCTTATATGAAACTCATAATTTAAGTTAATATATATTTTGATATTATTTACACGTTTCAAGTTAAAACAATATTAATCTAAAAAAATTTTAAAATCAAACTATTATCTTTTAAAATATTTAAACTTAAATTAATAGTAATATATGACTTGAACCACTATACAGAGTTTAATAATCATATATTTTTATTTAACGTGAAATTCAAATATTAAATCAGTATATAATATATGATCATCAAGAAGACTACACCTTTGTACGTGAGTTTCACCATAAGTAAGGATGGTTTTCGTTGTGAAACCAGCACGAGAAAATAATATCATGATTAGTGCATCAAAAAGATATACGATCATCACGAGAAACAAAAGTCAATTATGTTATTTATATTACGTACCCATTTACAGCCAACAATATAGAGAATCTCAAGTATGTGTTTTACTTAATGCTCGAAGTTCTTCTTTCATTTCATTTGTAATAATTTTAGTGTGAGTTTTTTTTTTTTTTCCTCCCCTAATTCTTACTTAAAAACAAGGATAAAATCATAGTTCCAGCCAATACGCATTGTATAAACTTGTTTGCATGCGTTACATGATGAGGTTGGTAAAAAAAAAATTGCATGATGCAGCTGGTAGATGCACATTGTCGTGTCAATTGCGACGATCACATTATGACTTAAACTTTTTAATGGTTAGTTCAATGCATCCACCACTTCCATTCGCGTCTGATATTCCTCATGGAATACCATAATAAGTAAGTACTAAGGCCAATACTTTATTAAATATATTTTATATATCTATCAAAACATGTAATGTATAGATATTTTATCAATATTTTCAGAATAATATTAGGGTGTGCGCATACATGTATATACACCCTCTATTATTAATTCAAACTTACTCAAAAGTCTTTTAGATTCAACTCCTTAATTTGTTCTTCTAGACCCAATGTTTCAAGTTTCAAGTTTAAATTTTGTTTCTTCAGCGAACCAAGTCCAAATCAAAACAAAATACAAATCAAAGTTGCAATTAAATTTCCAACTAAACTTTATTTCTCAAAATAATCGAAAACAAAATAAAAACGGGCCTCATAGGCCTTAAAATGGGCCTTATACGAGCCTTAAAATGGGCCGTAGAGGGGCCTTAAAATTGTCCTGTGATGGTCTTAAGTGGGCCTTAAAATGGGCCTCATGTGGGCCTTTGAATGAGTCTTGTATGGGCTCATATGGGCCTTAAGATGGTCATTTCTTAACGGTACATTTGCCGTCTTCAGTTGTCTTGTTTGGTTTTGGGCTCACCTTTTAATGACATTTGACCCTATAGGGGCCTTAAAATGGGTCTTGTAGGCCTTAAAATAGGCCTGATATGGGCCTTATGTGAGCATTAAAATGGGCCTTAGAGGGCCCTTAAAATGGCCCTAAACCCTTAGCTACCTGATGTGTCCCTAGAATCATTCTTTTCGCTCCTCTCCAACCAGTCCAGGGGCTTTCACCTAAAATGAGCATTTTCAAATTTTTGAATTTTGCTTCCACCTAAAATCAAATTTACTAATTCAGTAAGCTGGAGACAGAGAATAATCCTTCCACTTCATTACTAATTCAGTTTGCTTTAGTCACAATTTCTTCATTTTACAACACTTAACAAGAGTGAGAAACACTGTTTTTTGAGGACTCCTCTTCAAAAGTATATACTGCTTAGTACAAAGTGGGCAAAATATCCTCCAAAATGTTTAAAGGGTCATTTGCACAAAATGAATCTAATGCTTTTCCCCCCTGATCCTGATTCATGGGATGCTAGCCAGCGATATACAGCCTTTGGAATCATGTTGTCACTGAGTTATCTATCCAAAAGTCAGTAGATCTAGTGCTTTACAACCTACCAAAATATTTGTCCCCCAAAAAATTGCACCGGAAATAAATTTTTGGGAATCAGCAAGTAAACATACTAGACAAGTCATTCTTCAATATCAAACTTCCTTCTAATTCTTTATCTGAATGGCAGCCATCTTCTCTTCATAGTTTAGAGTATTGGCCGCAGACAAGAGCATGTCCATTCCTCCTCTTCCCTTGTCCGATTCTTCTTTCTCATTCTCGCACTGTTGCTTTTCAGATACTTCATTTTCCTTTTCACTGTCTCCACCCCTCTCTTTCTGTTTATTTTCAAATTTTTCGAATGCTCTTTTTGCTTTGCGTATTCTCTGTATACCACCATCACATTTTCTGCAAAACCACTTGCCCCTTGGAATTGAAGTGCGAGGTGGTTTCATGCAGTAAATATGGTATGCATCATCACAACCATCACATAGAACAATCTTATCATCATCTTTGTCATTGAGGCAAATTCTACAGAGACAAGAAGGGCAGTACCAACAGGCAGCATATGATTTTAACTGCTTAGTTGTCAGGCACCTTGTATGATAATATTTGCTAACACAGAAGGAATGACCACACATCCTGAACTTTTCACCATCCTCTACCTCCCCGCCACAAACCTTGCACATAGAGTTGTTTTTGCTCTCTTCTGACATTTGAAGCCCATTCTCCATACTACCATTTGAATTCTCTTCAATCTCATAAAATGGCTCACCATTTGTTGGACTAATATCATTAACACCATGACTAATTAAGGTCCTAGGGGCATTAACCTTCTCACATACTACACAGTTCTCATGAGGTGATCCAATTCCACTGGCTGTGCATTTTGCACAATACCAGCTTCTTGGGGGAATCTCCTTGACAGCAGGCTCAATGCAGGACACATGGTACATTTCTTCACAAGAATCACATACTAGACAATCCTTCCCATCTGCCTCCTTTCCACATTGTTTGCAAGTGCAAATTCTGTACACACTGTACGCTGCAGGATGCTCCAGTTTAGCATGAGGAACTGATTCCTGGGCACAGAACTGTTTCAAAGAGAAAAAATGTAATATTTACATCAGGAAAGGTTTAAGGCAGTGTAAGATTAGGAACCATATAAATGGAAAACTAAACAAATAAAAGCTTCAGCCAAGCAGAAATACTCAACATTTCTCCTACTGTCCCATAGCTCCATCAAGTTTCAACACTCAGATCTTTTTTAATTAAACCAACAGCACTAACATTCACATATATGACACATGGACAAACATTAAAACAAATCTCAAACAAGTATTTTCTATTTTTTTCTGACTTTTTTCTCTTTCTCTGATTTTGAGAGAGAGATAGAAAAGGTGATGCTGGACCATCTAGCCCAGCTTTACTAAAATAAGACTATTATATCTTGGCATGTTTTATATTTTGTTAAGGTTTTAGGTCTTATTTAGTTCGAAATTTTATTTATTCTTGTTTTCTTGTTTAAGAACTCCAAATCATATTAGGCTATGTTAACAACCTGTAAAGAGAAAGGTGCTTCATCATTATTAAACAGGCTGCTTATGAACAAAATACTAATTTCCTCTTACTGAATTGAGTGCCTAACAACCCTGTGATGCTAACCTTGTAATTGTGGATGAAGTTATCCTTTTCTTCTCTAATTTCTCTCTAAACCCTAATCCACTACGCTGCATTAGAAGGAAGATGGAAGGGAAGCGTAACTGGCAAACCAATGATGAGAAGAGAACATGAAACAAACATCAAACATGATCACAACAAGAAAACAAAACTTCCACACAACTTGAGAGTTCATAGCAGAAATGGTGGATATCTCATTTGGCACAAATTCATTTCATCACTGGAATAAATTATTTCTTTTGCTTTAAATAAAAATATACACTCAGAGACTATGATTAATTATCCAAGCTGTGAGTTG